AATGTGGTCCTCAGGGCACCCCTAACCAGAGATCAGAGGCAGAGACGGGGGTTTGTGGGTGGAGGTGCTCCCGTGAGCTGCAGGCCGAGCATCGGGGCCTACAGCCGATAACAGAATGCAGCAGCACCCACTTCTTTGCTTTCTTCCCCTGGCCCCTGAAAATAAAAATGGCAGATACCAAGCTGCTCATATAGCGAATGGGTGACAGACGGTCAAGGGTAGACGAGGGGCCACGGTACTGATAAGCCTCAACTCCCGAGAACAGGCTGCCAACAGCACCTTCCGCCTCTTACCCATGGGTCACGACCCACGATGGGGGTCCACAGAAGGAGGGTAAACAGTACAACAGTGTGGAAGGTCTTTAGCCAACTCACTACTCGGCCCAGCTTGCCAGGCCCAGGCCCTCGTCCCAGAGCAAGTTTGGGGAGCCAGGCTCGAATGGGAGACTCCTCAAGTGCCTGCTGACCTGGGCCCCCTTGCCCTTGCTTGAGCCAGACTCTGCCACCCCAGCCCCACCTCTGAACTCTACCCACATTCAGAAAGGGTTTTCTCTTTATTATGTTTTTTTTTTTTTCTCCCCACTCTCTCATTTGTGGCTTATCAATGATGCAAAACGAGTAACACCAATTTCCTTAGGCTGTGTAATCCGCAAATCAGATTGGGGGATTGCGAGAGGTGAGGTGACCTTGTACAGGGCTCCCGGAATGCCACCCAGTGCTGCCGCCCGCCTACCCTTCTCAGGACATATTTAGATAGATAATGTTAATTGCACTTGACACATCCTCCTAAGGAGGGCTGGGTCCTCTGTCAGCTTGCGCTGCCTTTGCTGGGCTGCCTGGGCAGAGGGTGCCCACTGGGGCAGTGCCCACCCTGCTGGACACAGGGCTCTGGGGGCATCGAGCAGTTGGGGAGGTTTTCCCCACGGGCCTCCGACACCTGCCCATCTGATCCAGGTGGTGAGAAGCTGGGGGTCTGCAGAGAGCTGGGCCAGACTGAGATAGGGGGCAGCAGAGAGGAAGGGGGAGCCACACCACGGCAGAAGAAGGGCAGAGGTCACAAGAGCGGAAAAGGGAAGATATGGGAGACTAGAGCTGGATGGAGTGGAGGCCGAGCAGGGCTGGGCCACAGGGCAAGGGCTGGAGACCCCAGGGCTCTGCTGAGAGGCTCTGGGCAGCTCGGCTGTCAGAGCTCACACCCCAGCCAGCCAGGCTGGGGATCCGGCGGGCGGCCCCACTGTCCTGTCCACTCCACGCTCACTTGCCCGAGATCTCTCAAGGCGTCTCGGCCAGCCTCCCTTGAACCCCCAAAACCCCCAACTCCACAACTCCAGTATCTCCCTTCCACCACCTTTTTTCCCCCTCCCGTCCTCCCCGGCAACTGTGCATTTATTAATTCATGAGGCACTAATTAGTTCTTTGTTTAATTTTGTGTTAAACAGACTGACCGGAATGATAACGACTTGCAGCGCGGTGTTGCCGTCCCCAACCACCCCTGTTTTCTGACAACAAGGGAGCACGGAGACCGGAGCGCTGAACCCAAATCCCTCAGCAGTTGCACTTCATTAAGTCAAAATGTGACGAGAAGCTTAGAGAGCAACTTGCAGATCTGATCACACAGAACAATCGGGGAGGAAACTTTGCAAGAGTTGGGCCGGGTGGAGGAGGAGAGGGAGGGGCAGAGATGTTTACCACATGGGGACCAGGACCTGAGCTGGAGCTCTGTCCCTTGCCTGCCCCTGGGGCAGGTGGTCTGGCTGATGGGAGCCGGGAGGCTGTCTCTGGGTGGGATCTGGGACACTGGATGGATTCTGGAACCACAGTGGGGAGCAGAGAAGTTCAGCTTCATCTCAGTCTTCCTGCCCAGGCATCTTTTCCTGTCTCTCTCTGCCTCTCACTGTCCCTGATGTCTGGTTCTGACCTGTATGAGTGAGTGACTGGGTACACCCAGGACCTGGCAAAGAATCAGAAAGCTGCTACAGTTAAGAAGAATTCTGCAAAGCCAGGGGAGCGGTACAGAGTGGGAAAACACAGAAGAGAACAGGAGGCCCTACACTTAGGAAGCCTGAAGTTAAATACACCCGTCCTGGCTAGGGGAAAAAGTACCATGCTCAGGGATCATGGCCGATGTATCCTTTCCCTGCTAGCTGTCCACCCACTCGTCTACCTACTCACCCATCCATCCATCCATCCACCCATCCATCCATCCCTCCAACGTTTTTTATCCTAAGTACTCTAACCAGAAAACTGAGGACCAAGAAGTTGAGTTCTGTGTAAACACACGGCAAATTAGAACCGGAACCGGGCCCTGGAGCTTCTAGGCTGTGGTTGTGGGCAGGCTGGCTGTGGGCAGGTAGCTGAGCTAACAATGACAATAGCCTTGTGACCTGCTCCCTTCTGTCCGCGTGAAAAATCAGGATCTCCACCCCAGAGGTGTCAACCTGTTACCCCTCTCGGCTCATGGTATGAGTGAGGATGGATGGGATCGAAATCAAGGCCTGACCCAGTCTAAAGGCAGGGCCCCTAGCCACCTTTTACCTGACCCTAATCTCCAAAGATGAAGACCACATCTTGTGTGTGAATAAGAATGGAGGGGACGTGAGGAGGAGAGAACAGAGAAAGTTGACAAAAGTGAGCCTGATTCTGCGCGAAGATCCTGTTGCCTTCTTCCCATTGGCTGCTGCACCTGTCCAGGTGTGGCCGGACACTCCCTCTGAGAGCCCACCCAGGCAGCCCACAGGCCAAGGAAGGGGCTGCAGGTCAACCTTGCCCATGCCTTCCCCTGGCTGGTTCTGGAACGTACTGGTCTCTGCTCTCACCCAAGCCTCGCAGCCCGGGGCTGGCTTCTCTTAATTTGCTGTCAGGCTGCCTAAGCAAACCAATTAAAACTAATCATTAATTATAAAAAAGAGCGAGAAGAGTAGAAGAGAGAAGAGGGGGTGAAAGGCGGAGACGGGAAGGAGGAAGAGGGAACGTGGGATAGAGAGGAAAGACCCAGAGGGCCTGCAGGGAGCTCTAAGTGGGGGTCCTGGGCCTGGGAGCTGGGAGAGACCAGGGGCTCCCCCTGCATAGAAGTGCTGGGGTGGAGGGAGGGTAGAAAGAAGGGAAAGATGGTGGAGAGGAGGCTGCCATAGGCCAAGGGGTAGGGGGAAGGCCAAGAGGGGAGGGAAGGAGGAAGAAGCTGCCAGGACCATCATACCAGGACCTGAAGAGGCCTCATCCATCTGCGGTCCCCTCTGACTGGAGCCACCAACTCTCCAGGACTTGGCTTCAGAGCGTCTCACGCCGGCTCCCTAGCTCCATATTTATGAGGCTCAGCTGATTATGCAGCACCAGCCCAGGCTCCTTGTCCCTGCGCCCCTACCTGCTCCCAGCCCTCTCAGGCCATGGAGGCTCAGGGCAGCTGTCTGCCGCCCATCTACCCCCCAACGCTGCCTCCTGTCCCATTCCCCCATCTTCACACACACCCCTTTCACAGGGGCTGAGGCCATGTCAGCCCGGCAGCTTGAGGAGGGGGGCAGCACAGACAACAAGGGGCAGTGTCATGGAAACGGGCACTTTCCCCGAGAAATATTCTGTTTGGCCTCCTTCCTGAATTGAGGAGCTGTCAGGAGCCTGAGTGAGAGCCACACCACCCCGGGACCAGGCGTGACAAAACCTATTTTCTGCCTCAAATTTGATTGATTAAAAAACTTTTTAGGAAAACCATGTTAAAAGAGTGAAAAAGGAGAGAGGGAGGGAGGGGGAGAGAGAGAGAGAGAGAGAGAGAGAGAGAGAGAGAGAGAGAGAGAGCGAGCGCGAGAAATAGAGGAGAAAAGAAAGACAGAGAGATAGGAATGCTGCCGGGGGAGGGGAGCTGGGGAGAAAGGCCACAGGCAGGGGCCAAGCAGTTACCCTGGCAATGACGCCAGGGTATGTGTGTCAGTGGGACAGCCATGGCATAAGCAGGCAAAACAGAAAGGTCAAAGGGAGCCCCAAACTTTTACACAGTGGTTTGCAGGACAATGTGGGGGCCGAGGGCCCCACACAATCCAGCAGGTGTGGGGATCTGGATGAGGCAGCAGCCAGCGTGGGTTGCCCGTCCCTAACTAGGGAAAGGAACTGGCACCCCAAGACAGGCAGGTGGCAGGTGGGGATGGCCGCCCAGTATCAGGCCACCGGATTGGCTCTGGAAGTTTCCAAACACAGCTCTGGCTGGGATTTGGCTGGAATCCTGAAAAATCTGTACAGGGTCAAGAGCGGGGGTTGCAGTAGTTTGGGGGCAGGAAAGGGGTTTTCCCGCCTTGTTCTCTCAAGCTCTGGCTGGCTCAGGGAACATTTTTTAATGAATAAATAAATAAGCTGGGAAGGACCCAGGTGACCCCCGTCCTGCAGGGGAGAAGACTTCGCTGGTTGGACACCAGCCTCAGCCGCTCGCTCTCCTCCCTCCCCATCTCAGACCTCCCGGCCCAGGCCCTGAGCTCCTTTGCTGGGTGCTGCCCTGCGCGGTCCCTGTGCCCATTTCGGACACTGAGATGGGCCCGGCCCGATCTAGACGGCGATGGGAGACCCTGCCCCTCCACACCTGAGACCCAAGGCGGGAAGAAACTCCCTCCATTTCCTAGAAGACCGAAGTGCCTCACATCTTCCTGGTGGGACCCATCTTCTCCCCGGAAGAGGGATCCAGGTCCGTGGCCAAGTTTGTTTTTCCTCTATTTAAGGGCCTCGAAGATCAAGGTTAGGAGTGGTTCTGGCCAAGGAGTCAGCAAGGT